TTGCATTTTTGATGCAGCTGGAAGATATGTGGGTCAGAGGGAGGGGGCAGGGGAGAGGAATTCAAAATTATATGTAATGTAAGTAATTGTAATTTGTTTTTATTATGTGTGTGTGCATGCTTTTTTTTTTAACCCGCCTCTGCTGGCGCGCGGGCTAGCACATTTATTTTTATTTTTCATTTTTCTGCACGCCATAGACCAAAACATTTCCTGGTTTGTGGCTGGGAGGCACACTGGCACTTTAAAGTGCATGCCGCCGCCCCGCTGTATGGCCGGGGCAACAGCATGCACTTTAAAGTGCCAGCGTGCCTCCCGGCCACAAACCAGGACATGTTTCGAACTATGGCGGGCCGAGGCGGCATGCACTTTAAAGTGAATGCCTTCCGGGCCGGCCATTCAGCGGGACATGCTTGATGTGCTCCATCTCGGCGGGCGGAAAGGGTGAGGGAGGACTGGAGGTGATGGGCGGGCGGCGAAGCGAGGCTGCTTGGGCGGCTGAGCCAGCCTGGGGGACAAGGGGCAGTCACAGGCTCCAGAAGCTGATGGGCCTCAGAAAATCTACTTAGCACGGGTGCGGGGACGGCAACAGGAGCTTACGCGGCACAGCAGGTCTCCTAGGACCTCCTAGGAGCCAGATGCGCCGCTCATTACCATCAGTCGCCCCGTGTTCAGCAAAGCAAGCACGGGGAAGTCCTTTGCAGGCGGCTAAGACTGGCAGCCCGCAAAGACCTCCCCAGACTTGTTTTGATGAGTGCGGGGTGACTGACAGTAATTTGTGCTGGCTGTGCCCGCTCAAACTAGCCTCAGTCGCCCCGTGTTCAGCAAAGCAAGCCCGGGGAGGTCCTTTGTGGGTGGCCAGTCTTAGCTGCTTTTGCCCGGCACTGCGGTTGAAGTGAAGCCCCAAAGCCCCCACTGCCACCGGAATATCTGCTGCCACCTCCTCCTCCTCCAACAGCACTGCCGGATTTGCCGCCCAATGCTGTGGCTGAGGTGAAGCCGGCAAAGGTCCCACCGGCGCCCCCACCCATGGCAGCGGCGTCTCCCCATTCACTTGTAGCACCTGATCTGGGCTCCGCGTTACGCCTGCCCCCTCCTCCTCCGCCGTGCTTTTGAGGAGCCATGAGTCCGTGGGAGGGAGCGGGAGCAGGAAAAAAAGGCCGCAGCGCGGGGCAGCAAATGTGGTGGTGCTGTTGGAGGAGGAGGAAGCAGCAGCAGTTATTCTGGTGGCGGCAGGGGCTCGTCAGCATCTTCAGTGGCGCCCCCCCCCCCCCCCCCGTGAATAAGACGAAGTGGAGCAGATCCATGCAGATGATGTCATTGCAACATGACTGGAGGAGGAATTCCGGGAGTTGAAGTCCACTTCAACTTCAGCGGGGCTTTCGCGCTTGCCTCACCAGCCATGAAGCTCACTGCACGTCACTGGCCCCATCGTAGTTTACACCATTCTCTAGGTGGTTTACATTGTCAGCATATTGCCTTCAACAATTGCCTCCTCACTTTACCGACCTCGGAAGGGAGGAAGATTGTGTCAACCTTGAGTCTTTCAGGATTGAATTCCAGACTGTGAGCAGAGTTGGCCTGCAGTACTGCATTCTAATCACTGTGCTAACAACAACAACATAGGGACATAATAACTATGGTTTCAGCTAGGACAACCTACGTAGCTGAAACCATGCAAACATAAAATCAAATGGACAAATTCATTCAACTTTTCCCTACCTGGGAGAACTTATAAGGCTTCCAAGCATTTCTGAAATGCTAGCAGGACTTAGTTGATCCAGGTAATGATACTATTGGTGGAAATGTAGGGGCAAAGTCTACATTTGGATAAGTCTGTTTCATTATTGACTGAATAATCATTTTTATTAAATTTGTTATTTTATTATTGGAAAGATGTTCCAGATCCCTTCTGATTTTGGGTGCTCCTAGGTAGCTATATTTTATGTATATGATCAGAATGGTAAAAAGTTCAGAACCTGAAAAAAGGTCGAAGGGGAGAATGGAACAAAGCTAATTCTTAATATTGCTATCTGATGATAGCACTACATGATGATATATCAACTCATCCTGAATTTTTACACTGTTAGCATGTTTTTCTGCATTTTTTCAAAATAAATCCTATGTCTAAATGCTACCTGATAATGCAGCAATTTAAACTAATTTTGAACCTAATAATTATATTGCTTTAAATTAAAATATTCATTTTTAAAAAATAAAATAATCATGTAAATTTATACAAGAAAACTGGTCTTACTGGTCTTATAATCTGCATGTCAATTTTCCTTTATTTACCAGGCATCCCTGTATAAAATTCCAAATACTAGCATAGAAAAGATTATGAAGAGTAATATTTTGCCACAAACTGATAATTCAGAAATGTCTCAGATATTCATTCTATTATTTAATGTATGTTAAATTAACTAACAGAATGAAAAATATGTGTATTTTTTAAAAAAAATACTGATATATGTAACCATATCAATATACCTGATACAGGAAACCTGTTCTACAAGTAAAAAATGCTTAAGGAAAGAATACTGACAGTTTATAATATTATATTAGCAAAGTATTAATTTTATCCCAGAATACTGTGGCATTGCTATATATATGAGGAATATGTAATTATATTCTTAAAGTTTACAAATATTTAATCATTTATGACAGTGCAAATAACACAAATTTTTTCATTATTACATTAACTTACATTCCAATATGAGATGATTCAGTCTGAGGCAGCTCAATGTTATTAAGCTGCGGTAAATCTGGTTTGGCAAGCAATAGCTGCCTTGTTAAAATTATAGTTATAGCTTTTGGTTGGCCATAAGGACACCATTTACTTTTTTCCCCTTAAATACACAAGTTCACTTTGCATATTTAATTTATAACCCAGGTTCTTTGGTTCTGGAACATGACTCTCCATAATTAAGTATGGGTGGTTAAATACATACAATTGATAAAGTTGATCTTTAATTTAGCAGATCAAAATAAAGGTGCTACAGTGTAAATTCTATCTATTTCCTCATTTAGGTCTTTAATAAAAATTCTACCCATATAATCTTCATCCTACAGAGGTTCTTAGATTATTTAATTCTTCCTGTGATACAAAGCTGAGATTTATAGCTCAAAGAAAACCACAAGCAGCAGAGTTCATTTTGCTGTCAAGAAGGTAGGATTCCATTTGATGTAAGCGAAGTTGCTATTAGTTCCTGTGATAGTTAAGATCAATAAACTGCTGTCTTATTGAGCCTACTGCACTGCAAAAAAATGGACTATTTAGACATATTGCCATGCTTGACACATCATAGATAATATTAGATTAAATCCTTGTTACAGACATTTACATGTAAACATCATTCAAACAAAGCTAAATCTTCAAGTATTAGATCCCTAGGAAAAATAAAAAATTAAAAGGAGGCCCAAACCAATCAATACACCTTAATTTATTCTTAATCCCTTTTTAAAGTCTTGTTGCTGTAGTTGAAAGGCCACTTGAGTTCCGTTCAGAATTAGTACCTTCTTTTCCTGTCATTACAAAGCTTTCCCTAATGAGCTCAAATCATTATTCAGCCTTAACTACCATTAAATGTATTGTTTTAAATGTATCATTTACTGCTACTTTTGAATCCAGACTTGATGTAGGAAGCCATTCAAATTAATTGACATCTACATCTTACATTTATACTATTCATTTACTATTCAATTACTACATTGAAATGTTCTTAAATGCATTTATATTAAGTGCAAACATTATTTTGATTTCTTGTAATAAATTGCTTTTGATAGTGGTAATTGCTATGAAAAAATTGGGAAAATATAGAACAATATTGTCAATATAGAACAATATTTACATCAGTGGTGGGTTGCAGGCGGTACCGGGTACCGTTCCGTACAGTGCTCCGGAGGACCCACCTGCCCGCACGCCTTACTGTGTTTTTAAGCTGTTGGTGCTTCCGCCCACGTGCATGGCACGTACAGCGCCTGCATTACACTCTGCTGAGCAGCTGGAGCATCATGGAGGCTTGCGGAAGCATCATTTCCAGCTAAAATGCATGTGCACGCCACACACATGCAGGTGGGTGACGCCGGGGCTGTTCCAACAGTACCGGTTGGAACGGAATCTGGAATCCACCACTGATTTACATTCTTTTATTTGTTTAACTTTCTTGTTTTCTCACTAAGAATCCAAAACAAATATATACATGTAAAATAAGCCAGTGGTTGCTTGGACATAGTATAATTAAAGAATAGTTTGATGTCCTTATTTCTCTATTACACTAGATTGTAATCTTAGAGTAATCTAGTATATTATTGTAAGTAGTATAGGTTGTAGATGAGTGAATACAGACATGGAAGGGAATCTGTTCTTGTGTATGTCAGCATTTAACTTCACCAAAAAGTTTAATGGTAGAAGATAATTAATTTTTAATAGCTATTCCTGAATTATACTTCCCATGTAATTATATTGGGATAGGGCACTGGGCCTTACAATGCCCCTTACAAAAGGATATTAAGAAAGTACACAAAAGAGTCTGCATCTATTATGATAAAGAAAAGAATTCTTTTCATCAGGTTGTAAGTTGTAGAACCAAAATTAAATTTGAGCTTTCCCAGTAATGATCCAATTATTATCAAATATGTTTCCCAAAAGGATGCACATGGACCTTTCAATACTCGCTTTGTAGGTAACTGTCAAAATTCTTTATGTCCAAGGCATCCAACTTTAAATGATTTATGTATCCCATGACCCAAGGATAGCATGGTATCCCCACACGTTTTGACATCCATGATCATAGATCATAGCAGTAACATACAGTGTCCAAATACCAAATTGCAGAGGTATAAATTCCTGTTGTTTTCCACAGTTTATACCACACTATCATATACAACACTCACCCCTAAATGTATGAACTATTACTTTTTTTAAAAAAAAGTTGCTTTCAAGTTAAAAGTAATATGGACACATCCATCTATTAATTATATTTAAGTAGAATTGCTCTTACCGTCATGATTGGGATTTCCCAAAGTCCATGGCTCATCTGAGTCAAAATGAGTATCACCTCCAATTCCTGGCCCAGGAAAATAAGCATGAGCCAAAAATCCTCCTTCCCCATCGAATGGAGAACTGTCTCCATGAAAACCTGATGCAAAAATTATAGTAATATCCACGTCTTTCTTGCCATTCTCCAGTTCTACATAAGGAACTTCCTCAAATGTCAGAGGGGTTACATTCTGCCACACATCGAAGGCACGGCGAATAGCTTTACGGGTTTCAGCATCTCCTACTTTTGGAGTGACATTCTTTATGCTGCACCAAAAGAAAATCAAACAACAAGTAAACATAAGTGTCACCTTATCAATAGTACCACACACCTTACTCTTAACTGCACATTGTATCAACCCTTCTGATGCAATGGGGACCGAATGACAATTCTTGAAACTATATCAAGTACAGTGATTTCACATATTGAAAGTAGTTCATATGTAACAATATAACAACTCCATAAAGGAATTGTTTATTAATGTTCATTACTACAGATTGGTGACACTGAGGTCAATTTACATTTATTACTACACTGGCAATTTGATTTGTATTTAAATACCATTTTGGTCAATTCGTTACATTATTAGTAACTCCAAAAGTCATTGTATAAATCAGTCCTCCTTAATTTGGTGTGCTTTAGATGTGGAAACTGTACAATCCAGCATGTAAGTCAGTATTATCTAGGATAATACTTAAGTGAAGCTTAAGTCCAAAAGTCCCGAAGGGAGGAAAAGCTGTTGAGGAAAGAGGTCTGTATAGCAAGAAAAAAACAAGCCAGGGGAAATCGATCCACAAGTTTTATTTTTTCCATTTTGTAAAGGTACACATTATAAATGGTGCCTGAAGCTGAATCTTGGCACAGCCATGTCCCAAACCATTGCCACTTGTGGACAATGTCAATATAGACCATTACCCAAAGATATAGAGAAGACATTAAATCAAGTTTATTCCCGTGGCCAAGATGAATAGTCAGCTAATATACTTTATAAAGATGTGACAAATAAATATGTAACTAATTCTATATTTTTTTTAAAAAAGTCCCAATACAATTCTCTATAACATTTGACTTTCCTCTGAATGAGATCTATTTTGTCTGATTGGAAAATGTTCATGAACAAAAACTTCTGATGATTCATTTAGAAACATTATAAATATATACTTGAGTAATGGCATCACATATTACCTAAAGCTAGACCTCTTATATTTGTATTTCTTATTTTAAATTAGCCATATTTCAGGTATCCGTTCACAACAGCCTCTCTTGCTACTGAAGCACTTAAACCCACTGATGTTCCCCATGAAAGGTCAGAGATT